TCCCTTAAGTTTAATCAAAATACATTTAAAATACTCTAACAGGTAAGCACTTCAGTACAGTTCTGGGCTAACCATATTAACACAATGGCGTCTGCACCTCTCACCTTAGGGGGATATTACTCTTACTCTTCAGTAACTATCCAGCAATACACAAAGAATGTCTATTTGAGCATTGTATTCTAGTAAATAGGGGAAGCAAAATATTTATTCTTCTTGTCCATTATAATTTTTCTTTTTTTTTAATTTATTTTTCTTTCATACAATATGTTCTGACCACAGCCTTCCTTCCCTCCACTCATCCCAGTCACACACACCCCACCTCCCTACTTCCCCAGATGCCTCCCCCCCTTTTTCCCTTCAGAAAGAGCAGGCCTCCAGTGATTTCACCTGAACATGGCATAACAAGATGCAATAAGACAAGGCACAAACACTCATATCAAGGCAGGAGGAGGCAACCCAGTAGAAGGAAAATGTTACCAAGAACATGCAAAAGACTCAGGGACACCCCTATTTCCATTCTTAGGAGTCGCACAAAAACCCCAAGATAAACAATCACAACATAAATGCAGAGGACATAACTTAGATCCATGAAGGCTGTGATTACCACTTTGGTCTCTGTGATACCCTATGAGCCCAGCTTAGGTGATTCTCTGGGCCATGATTTCCTGATGTCCTTGACCCCTCTGGCTCCTGAGATCCTTCCTCCACCTCTTCTGCAGGGTTTCCTGAGCTCCATCTAATGTTTGGCTGTGGGCCTCTGCATCTTCACCCATCAGCTGCTGGAGGAAGCCTCTCTGATGACAATTGGGCTAGGGACTGATAAATAGCAGAATATCATTAGGAATCATTTCATTGTTTTTTGTCAGTTGTGTTTTTTTCTACCCTAGGTTTGTGAGCCATCTAGGAATTTTCCGCTGCACTAGGGTTCCACATTGTGCCCTATATGCCCCCAATTCCAGATACCCCTCCCCTACTCTCTCCTACTCCCATCCCCACCCACTTCCAAGCCACCCACAAAATCTACTCTATTTGCCCTTCCCAGAAAGATCCATGTACCGCCCCCCAGAACCCTCCTTGTTACTTAACGTTTCTGAGCGAGACAAACCAGACCCAGTAAGATAAACATGATATGTACTGACTTATAATTGTATCTTAGCTGTTAAGTAAAGGATAATCATGCTACAATCCACAGGCCCATTATAATTTTATTGAATTTCCACTGTTCACATGCAGAGAGACTGCCCTGTGAATAGACAGCAAGAAGATGTCACTTAAGTTGATGACAGAAGTCTCACAGGAAATCAAATCTGCTGACATCTGAATATTGGACTTCTGGCTTCCAGAATTGTGAGAAAATAAGTATATTTATCTTATTTAAGTCAATGTGGTACTTTCATAGTATCCATACAAGTTTACAGATTTCCTGCATACTATTATTTCTGGATTGTCTCTGACCACAACATTCTTCATAATCATGTTTTAACGACCCATTTAATCCATGTGTGGGTTAAAGAGGAATTTCCCTAATAAGATTATGTGATATTTGAGCATACAACACTAGATAGTATACAGATGGAAATTTACTAACCATTCACATGTTTATTATACTCATAGTCATGAGAGTCTTGTATTACTTGAAATACAAGGCCACACAGGGTTGGTCATACATGATAAATAAGAAGGTCACTAGAAGTCAGGTTATAATAATCAAGGAAGAACATCATACCTTCTGCAATGCCAGTACATATGAGGTTGTATTCTGAAACAGAGTAAACAAATGCTGAGATAATTTGAGGTTGTGCTGGTTCCACCAAATATCAAGTCAGTGTATCATATTAAAGCCTAATTTTACACCTCCTTTACAAAGTAGTTTTACATTCAGTAATCTTTCTTCAATATTCTGATATATCATATGGAGACCTGCATAGTGTTCATCTGTATCATAGGTTCATATAACCGACCATGAAGCTTACTTTAAAATATATTACATCATATTGACTTGAAATTTTCAAAATCTCAATTGCCTTGCCTCAGGAACTTTACTCTCACTTTTATCTATTCTTACTTTGCTGTAATTCCCATAGGGCATTGTACTATTTTCCTCGTAAGATTTTATTTTCTTGTTTCTAAATTCTATGGGATGAAGTTCGATCTTTTTCTGAGCATCACCAGTACTAGCACAGAAGTTCCCAAAGAGCAGATACTCAGTTGATATATGTGAATATGAGAGATAAGAACTAACTTCCTAAAAATCAATGTCCTCTCCCTATACACAGCACTCACTCAGTCTACTTCATTCCAGAGAATCTCGGCAGGCCCAGACTTTCCTTTCTCACATTATTCAAATGTATTTTAACTGATAAAACCACAAAATATTATTCTTAGTAAATTTTAGAGAGCTCAGGAGGTAGCTCAACAGGTAAGGATACTTGCTGTGTATGCCTAAGAACTTGGGTTTGGGTGTCCATGTACAAATTTATACATGGTCACACATGGGCCAATTCCCCTGGTTCTATAAAGACAGATACAGGAGGATCCTTAAAGCTTGCTGGCCATCATCTTGGCTCCAACCTCAGTGATAGACTCCTATCAAGGTAATAAACCATAAAATGATAAAACGGGGTAGCCAGTGCCCTCCTCTGGATTCCTCATGTGTGCACAGGCACATATCTGCACATACTGGTGGGCATATACCACATATATATACCATACACACACACACACTCTTGTCCCCCCCTTCTTCATGTTTTTGTCTTGGTCTTCATAGCTTACATACTATCTCACCTTCTTTACATGTACTTGCTGTCAGGCTGTCAGTTTTTTTTGAGTGACTGGTAGATAATTTTTCTTGTACCATCTCTAGTGCTATTAAGGGAGACTGCTATTTAGAGCAGTTGCTTAATTAATGTTCACGTACAAAGTATTAAAAAGAGTTAAAATTTTGAATTATTACAAATCAATTTCTGTTATACACAAGGAGGAAACTTAATTCCAAATTCAGCTAACACAATAAGCAGAAGATAAAATGTACATCAAACTATATTATGAACAAACTATGATATGGTCAGGCTCCAGAAGAGGAAGGAGTGTATACTGGGAAGATCCTGGGGAAGGGTGCTGTAATTTGCAAAGACCCGCAGGTATATCATACCAGGAATATCAGCTCCTGTATCATGTTGCCTTTCAGGAAACAAAAGCCTAGTGCCACTATCTAAAGATTATTCACTTCCCTTTTATCGACTTGTTTTCACTACTTTGACTACTAGTATCATTTCTTTTTTGTCTGAGAGCCAGTTTAGAACAGTGAGAGAAAAAATACTGAATTGGAGGCAGAACATCGTCAAGTAGGAGGAGTGGAAGAGTGCACCAGACAAATGTATATCAGGATTTAGTCTTACTATTCTATCTACCAGCCTTAAAAAGAAAACCACAAGCTCAACATCAACCAAGTGAGTCTTATGTAGGTACTATCTGGTTGGAGTACACAGCTGGAAAATAATGCTCAGTCTTTGAAAAGTTACTGTTATTATATTGGTCACAGGTGATACATCTACTTATACATCTTGTTCTCATATCTTGAAAGTATTAGAGCATATAGAATAGTGTCGTAAAAATTATAGTACACAGGGCAAAAGTAATGAGTACAACTATGTTAAATTTCAACATGACAGCTCTAATTTGAGTGTGGGGTGGCTTGTCCCAGATAACTACAATTAAAGGTCTTAGAATTTGTGATACGGTCAAATTCCACTGCCCCCATGATGTCCTTCTGTCCAGCTGCCTCATTTTAGTCATTATTGACTTAACAAAATGTAGCCCTTGATAAATGTTTGTGAAATGAAAATTAACATAACTTAACATGAAATGCTCTTCTTATCAGTTAGGATCTACTTTTTAGTGCAAGTCAAATGGTGATGATGTAGTGGTTTCTATGGATCTAATCTTACTTGAGGGATCTCTCAAAATGTTGACAGAATGTGCACCAATCACCTGGTTTTCAAACTGACTTACCTGCACTGGGAAGAGAATCTAGGACATATTTCCTTCCTGCCCAAATGGAGATTTGTGTTCCATTTGCCCACCAACCCAATCACTTACACCTTTTCCTGTCTTCACTTTGCCTTTCCTTTACCTTTGTCCATCCCTTACTCCCTTGTTCTTTTCCTCTCTCAAAGTTTTAAATAAGAATACCATTATTTAGAACTGGGTCAGCTGTAACCTTGATCTTACAATTTTCAGCATCCAGAACTCTAAAAATTAAACCACAATTAATTAAACACAATTAATTAAAAATTAAACCACAACCAACCCCAACCTCCAGTGTGTATTTTCTCTGTGTTGTTAGCATAGACTTACAGGATTTTCCACAAAAATCTGTAAGGCATACCATCTAAGGGGATGTCATTTATTCATTACTTTTAAAGTCCAGTCAGCCCAATACATTCATGACCAATGAATGAAAATTGCATCTGCTTACCAAGTTTTGGGAATTTGACTTTTCCACATGCCTTGCTCAATGAATTTCAACTTGATTGCCCTCATAAGAAACACCATTTTCCTTAATCCTTTTTTGCTTTAACTTAAGTCAAAAAGAGGAAATCCAATCTTACTGGTTAAACTGCAAATATTGGCTCAGAATTTCTAAAATTGGAGGCTGGAATATTATATTACCGTTCTAATACTTTCACATGGACTTCTAAAGATAATACATTTGATATAGATTTGTTCAATATCAGTAAATAAACACAAAGTCTAATTCATAAACATTTGACTTTTATTGACTTTTGTTTTACAAGCCAGGGGAAGTATTTAATTACATTTATTGCATTTAACTTTACCAAACCACATAATGAATGCAATTAAAGGAAACTAGACTTAACTGTGTTCTAATCCCCTGCTATTCCCAGTGTACTGACCTACTAACTCTAAGATTATTTCATATTTTCAAGAAAACCCTTTTTTCCCATGCTTTATGTCCTTATCTCAATGACAGGAAAACTTTAGGGGTCAACAGGGACAGTGGAATTCGCTGGTAATTTTACTGAAGAATCTTCACTAGTTTCGTCAGTGGCATCAGAGTCATCTTCATCTCTGGCTTCTGTTTGTCCTTGGTCATCTTTCAAAGCCTCTTCATAAAGGGCAGAGATGGCACTAGGTGTTGTTTGGTTTGTCTTGGCCAAATATTCCAGGACTTTTATCTTGCTTGTTTCAGCATAGGCTTTGGGACCCCACAGGAACTCATAGCGTGGAGGATCACTGCCAGCCACCTGCCTGTACTCCAGGTACTTCAGCTTCACCAAATAATGGGTCATGAGCTTCCGGGGCTCACCAAAGATGCAGTGCTTCTTTCCTGGATAGATTCGCTTCGTCTTCAGGATTTGCCAGATCTCTTCTTCACTGGCACAATTGCCCCTAACAAGGATGATACCTAGGACACACATCACAAAAGCAGTCTTGGGTAAGCCTTTGCCAGCACGAATCCTCCCATTGTTGAGGAGCTTCAGCTTGCTGATGAGATTGTATGAGGGCTCACTGGAGTTGACTTCCCTCACTTCCATTGCAAAGGCATCTTCGAGCTTCTGAGAGGCTTTCCTGAAGATCTCAGGGAAGTCGTCTTCATACTTCTTTTTTTTTTTTTTTTTTTTTTTTTTGGTTTTTCGAGACAGGGTTTCTCTGTGTAGCTTTGCGCCTTTCCTGGAACTCGCTTTGGAGACCAGGCTGGCCTCGAACTCACAGAGATCCGCCTGGCTCTGCCTCCCGAGTGCTGGGATTAAAGGCGTGCGCCACCACCGCCTGGCTGTCTTCATACTTCTTGGTGATAAGCTTCAGCATGTTTTCCTTGGTAGTAAGCTGCTTCAGATTGTACTTGTGAAGCAAGTACTGTAAGAGCACCATTACCTTTCTTGCTACCATATCTTGGTGAGGACAGATGGTGCAGGGCTTGTCCTCAACAGAGGATTCCTTTTCCTGGAATTCATCACTTTCCTCAAAGGAAATCTCACGTGATTCAGTGGAAGAAATACTCAGAGTGCTTGAGGCAGATGATGTTGCTTTCTGAGGAGCCTCGGGAGTGCTGGAAGACTCAGCCCCAGGCTGGCTCTGGGAAGCAGCAGAGGACTTTTCTGCTGCCTCTGTTGTTTCCTCTACTGTTTCCTTCTACAAGCCCGAGCCTCACCTCGGGTCTGGTGGTGTTTCTCCCAGACATGGCTTTTACTCTTTTGATCTCGAGGCATGATGACTCTGGCTAGGGACAAGAACAGAATATATTGGAAGGGTGCTGGTGCTGAAAACACCTGTAAGAAAAAGAATATGAACAGTTTAATCAGAGAGAGAAAACCTTGTTTGTAAGGAAGGCTGCCTCTTCAGGTTTCCATGAGTGCAGTGCTTTTGGAATCCAAGTGCTACTCTTATAAAGAGCTTAATCCCTGAGTAAGAATAGAGAAGCTTTTTTTCAGCATACCTCTTCTCTATCTTGCCTGTTGTACTGGGCTAATGAGCAGGGGTGGCAGTGAATGATTTCTGTTTGATATTCCAGAAACCTCTCAGTTTCTCTCAGTTCACATCACCAGCTGAAAAGCTTTGGGCCTGTCTCCTTTTCTACTCTAAAGCTGCCATTTCTGTGAAATTCTAATCTCTGTTTAGACAATATTCTTCATTTTAGCTCCCCCAAATATCCAGAATTCCTTTTAGTGTGGATTTAATCCATCTCTTTCACCAAAAAAAATCTGTCACTACTATTATTTTAATCACCTCTTGAAACTGGAGTAAACCAGTGTCTCTTCCATCACAACTACTTGTCAATGCAGCATGTGATTAATAGAGGACTTATATAGGTCCTCCTGCACCCTTACCTTGATTTCTGGCCATATTTAAGATTCTTTTCTATGCTGATTTGAGGATCCTCTACTCACACTGAGTTCTTCATATCCCCGTGTGGAAACAGCCCAATAGATTTTCATGGAGACTCTCAGGGTTGATGGCAGAGATATGCCTCAAGCCTCCTGCCTCATGTAGGATGGTTAATTCCTTCAGAAATCACTCAGTGTTCTGTCTTTTAATTTCCTAAAGAGCACACTTCTCTTTTTGCTTAATGACAGCAGATTTACTTTGAGGCTAAGCTCTGTTCTCAACACACGTATTTGACAGTCTCAGTTACCCATATGTGATCTTTACTGGTATTTCCACCTCAGTAAGTTTCTTTGCATTTTCTGTTAACATAGGCTTTTCCTACCTCTGCTGCCTAGGTTTCTTCAGTGTCTCATTCCAGAGACTTTAGAAGCCAAATGAGTGAGGAGCTCTACTGGCCCACTCTCCTCAGGACTTTTCAAGACTGAGGACAATGGAGCTGGAAAGATGGTTCAGTGGTTAAGAACCCATACTGATTTTACAGAAAACCTGAGTTGCATTCTCAGCATCCAAGAAGGATGGCTCTCAATCACCAGTAACTCCGCACCAGGGTACCCAGCACCCTCTTGTGGCTTCTGCTGGCAAGTGCACTCACATGCATATACCCACACAAAGACATGGTTAATTAAAAATGAAATAAATCTTAAGAAAAAAAAAGACTGAGGACAAGGGTGCAATTAACGATAATGGCTATTTTATGAGGAATCCTGCAGCCAAGCATGAACAGTGAGTTTTCTGGAATGGGAGCTTAACCTTTCTACATTGATAAAGACAGCAAAAACCACCACTTACCTGCCCACCCCCGACCCCCACTTTGGTTTGTGGGTGGAGGGCTATCTTCTAAGCTGGCAGAAATGGAAAAAGTCACTCAGAACAAGGAAATAGCTTGTGGGCTTGAAGGATATGGACTAAGGGACACTGTTTTCTGAGACTGGCCATGAATGAAACAGGAGCACTGGTGGGCAGAAGGAGAGGTGCAGTGCAGTGCATAGAGTCTTTTGAGGGAAAACTATGAAAATAGGAGTTGCCACTTGCTTGTGGAGAACTTGAGGCTCTTTTTTGGTGGGCAGAGATCGAGAGTTAATTCCAGGAGAGTATGTCTGTGGTAGAGTGGTAGCAGTGTTCTCATCTAAGGTCATCTAAACCTAACACCGATGCTACCGCTGGCTCCTGTAAGGACTCAGGAAACAGAGAATGCTGCTTGTTCTCTAGTGGAAATGTTGGGAACCAAGCAGCACTGGGGAGGGTGGCTCTCTTCAGGTGACTGAGAAAAAAAACGCGGCTTTAGGGGGTCTTTAACTCCTGACCTTGACTCTGGCTGAAACTTGGGCCTGTTTCTTGCTTCTTCTGAAGTAGAGGTTTGCTTTGTACAGAGCTTCAGATTGCCTCTCTTCTGGCTTCACAATGGCTTTTGAAGCTCCAAGGAGGAAGTGACCACTGTCACCAAGGACAGCAACTTGAAGGAAGAGAGGCTCATTGCATATGCTGCTCTTCTGGCGCTTCCTCTGGCGTGGAGTGAGTGGGCTCCCTCTGTCCCACAAAATTCTGAATATGTGATACTTTGTGCTTTAGGTTGACTCTGCTGCCACTCTTGCTAGTAAGACTTCAGTACTTTTAATTCTGAAATCCTTACTGGGGAAGTCCACACGAAGTAAGAAACTTGGGGCCTCTATGTCTAAGCACAGGTAATGGAAAGTCCCTATGTGAACCTTTCTGTTCGGTGTTCTCAGTAACTGTTCAGGTCACCATCATGGGTCCTATATTTTTAATAATAGTTTTGTTCATGAATGGCAAATACCTGAATGCTATTGTTAATTTTGGAACAAGTTTGTTCCTCAAGACTCTTGGGATATAGGGAAGCTGAAAAAATAAAGCAGTGGACTTAGTGTATGAAATGTCATTCAGGATATATACTTATCGATCTTTTCCTTTTCTCTAACATGCAAACTCAATTTTTGTTAAACTTCTCTTCTTAAACTTCAATTATTACAGGAAAATTATGAATTAAGATTTTTTGTTAGGTGTTTTTTTTTTCTGTGAAAATCAAGATATTTTATTATTTTGATTTGGTCCATGGGTAAAAGAGCACAGTTTCAAATGAGACTGTTTTCTGTAGGATCATTACTGAATTAAATGCTCACCAAGTGCTTTATGAAATAAATCCGGGCCAAGATTAGAGTACAGATCTGTATACATTTTTGAAAGATATGACTAATTGAATCCAGTTGTCTTCTTATGTAAATATGTATTCACACTTTGATCCTTGAGCAGATAGAACTATACATAAAATGTTCAAAGAAATTTGTTCACTTTATTTTGCTTTATAAATTTAAACTTAATTTGAGAGTTCAATACTATAAGTATTATATTTATGTTATTTCCACCACTGCTTCTCCTTAATCCTTTGAAACAAAGTAAACATCATAAACTTGGATATTCATTTTGTTAGAAAAAATGCATTGCTTGTTATTTAATCCCATAATTTATTTTGATGTTCCTTTTCTCTACTATGGATCTAATCCCAATACTTTCAGCAAAATATTTTAATAAATCATCTGAAATGCACTCAGGAGTATTGTGGAAGAAAATGAATAAAGATCAGCATATCTACTTAACTGTAGCTGTACTGGGATAACACAGCCCTAGATGATTTCTGATTAGCAATGTATCCTCATTCCATCACTACTATAATTATATGAGAAATGAGAATTTTATGGTTTGGGTTTACTTATCATCCAATTGACTTTGATAAGGCTTTATATATCATCAGCATTTGCATTCCTTAAAATTTACATGTGGAAATGTGTGTTTTTCTTACTCTTGTCCTTTTTTTTTCCTTTTTTTTTTTTGGTGATACTGGAGATTCAACCCAGGGAGAACCCACATTTATTCACTAGATACATATATTTAACAATTAGAAGCTAAGATCCATATATTACATAGAACATATGGTATTTGTCTTTCTGAGTTTGCATTATATCACATAATATGTTTACTAGTCCCATCCTTTGTCTTGCAAATTTTATTTTTCTTTTTAAATTAAAATTATCATATTTATTTATTGTATTATCCTATAGATATGAGTATTTTCCCTGCATATATATCTGCACCATACATATGCCTGGTGCCTATGGAGGTCAGAAGAGAGTGTCAGATCCTCTGGAATTAGAGTTACAGAAGGTTATGAGTTGCCATGTGGATACCAGGAATCAAACACAGGTACTTTGCAAGAGCAAAAAGTGCTCTTAACTGCTGAGCTAACTCTCCATCTCAAGTAATTTCATTTTCCTTTATAGATTAATAAAATTCTGCTGTGTATATTAATCACATTTTTATTACCTATTTATCTGTTGATGGATATACAAGCTGGTTTTATTTCCTTGTTATTGTAAGTAGAAGAGCAAGAAATCTGAAGTATATCAAGGCAAGTATATATCTTTAGTTAGATGTGGAATCTTTGGGGTATATGCTTAGGAATGATGTAACTTGGACATATTTTCAGTATTAGTTCTGGGGTCTTTCTAAGTTACTAACGCTGATCTTTAACTACTACGTAACCCAAACAGCCCATAAATTATGATTTTATTGACTTAGCTTGAATTACAGGTAGCTTGAATTACATGCCTGCACCAGCATGTTTAGTTCATAAGTTGAACATTAATTGCAATGTGACAGTGTTAAGAAATAGGGCGTTTGGAAGACAATTGTGTTAGTTGAAGTCATGTGGGTGGGAGTGCTATCATTTTCTTATACTGTCCTTACAAGAATATACCAGAAAAGTTTTGCTCTTTCTATTGCCACGATATGAGGATACACCAAAATGACATTTATCTGAAAAGGAAACTTCACCATATACCAATTTTGTCATCACCTTGATCTTGCATATTCTTGCTTCCAGAATATCAACAAAAATATTTCTGTTTAAAGCCATGTAGCCTGTAGCTAGAGTTTTCTTGCCTGGCCCATAGTCAGGACAAATCTCTCTCACCAGCCAGTCCCACAGTCGCTCAGACCCGACCAAGTAAACACAGAGACTTATATTGGTTACAAACTGTATGGCCATGGCAGGCTTCTTGCTAACTGTTCTTACAGCTTAAATTAATCCATTTCTATAAATCTATACCTTGCCACGTGGCTCGTGGCTTACCGACATCTTCACATGCTGTTTGTCATCGTGGTGGCTGGTAGTGTCTCTCTGACTCAGCCTTCCACTTCCCAGCTTTATTCTTCTCCTTGTCCCGCCTATACTTCCTGCCTAGCCAATGGCCAATCAGTGATTTATTTATTGACCAATCAGCA